GTGAGCTGGAGGCCCAAAGAAAAATCTGTCTACAAATATGATTTTGAATACTTATTATTGATTTTTTGAGATTTTAATGTGAAATTTTAATTAGTGTGTTTTAAAATGTTTGTGTTTTAAAGATTTGTTTTTATTCTAAATTATGTGATTATATGTGTCTGTCTGTGTGTCTGTCTGTCTGTGGATACGTGCACATGAGTACAACTGCCTCAGAGTCCAGAAGATCCTCTGGAACTGGAGTTATCGGCAGTGTGAGTTGTGTGTGGGTGCTAGGAACTGAACCCAGGTCCTCTGCAAGAGTAGTGCTTGATCTTAACCACTGAGTTCTCTCTCCAGTCCCATATGTGTGCTTTATACTTGCAATTGTATGGTGTTCCATTTGAAATATTATATCTAATTCCTTTGAAATGATAAAAAGTCTAAGGAGTTTGTTCTGAGTCAGGATTTTTTCATCAGAGACTGCCTGGAACTTGCCAAGTAGACTAGGCTGTCTGTCTGGTCAGCCCCAGGTATCTGCCTGTCTGCCTCCCCACCTCTAGGGTTATAAGTATTTGCGAGTACACCTCCTGGCTTTTTGTTTTGTTTTGTTTGGGGGAGCAGGGTTTCTCTGTGAAGCCCTGTCACCTGGCATTTTAAATGACGGTGCTGAGGCTCAAACTCCTCCAGTCCTCTTACTTCCAGACAAACACTTTACCTACTGAATTATTCTCCCGCCAGGGCCCTAATTTTATCATTTCTTAAATGCTTTTTAGATGCCACACACTAGAAGCACATTTTATATACACAATCAGAGATCCCCAAGATAATGTGTACCTAATGAAGACTCCCAATGCTCTGACAAAGGTACATTAATGGACTTGATGTTGCAAAGGACACCACACACTGGAGGAACCATGAGCTGTATGTGTCACTAGACACCAGATGAAGGAAAGTTACCTATGTTTGCGGGAGCGGGGGGGGGAGGGGGGGGGAACAGTGAAGGGCTTCTCACTCTTTGTTTTGGCTTAGTTTCTGCAATACTGTGGATCAGCCCTTAGGGTGAGCCTGCCAGGTGAGCACTCTGCCACATCTCCTGTCCAGAGGCAGTGTTTTGATTGCTTAAAAGCACACTGGGCTGTGTAAAGGGATTATCAGCAGGCCTGAGCTATCAAGAGGGCTCAGGAGCCTGTTTCCTTGGAAACTACCATGTGAAGATAGATGTGGGATGCTGCCACTGGAAACCTTATCTGGAGCTCTGCACATGTCTTAGATTCTCAGGATGCTCTTCTCTCTCCAAATAACCCAAACCTTCCAGTAAAAGTTCCATCCCTGCAGATATTTCAAACAGCACAATTTCTGACAGTCTAGGACTTTAGAGAGTAAGAGTCCTTTTGTTAATTAACAAAAAACAATCTCCCCAGTATTCCATTAAAATGTGATTTGTTTTGTACAGATGAGAATTGAAAAAAAAAATCATCAAGAAAAAGTAAAATAAGATTGTTGAGAGAGAGAGAGAGAGAGAGAGAGAGAGAGAGAGAGAGAGAGAGAAATGGTATGCTCTGAGATTCTGGGTACGTGCCCAGAGTCATAGACCTGTTAAATGGCAGCCAGGATTCATACATCTCCTGTACCCAAGGATTACCAGTCCTGCTGCAAAAGATATGCACACATGTGTTCTTAAGCCAGCTGTGGCTCACAGCAGCATCTACTAGGACTAAATAGCATTTCTTGGTGCTTTGTCTTTGCAACGGAATGCAGATAGAAAGTATTCAGTGCAATATGTCTATCTGTTCGCTCCTGTAAATACCAGTCAAACCGATACAGAATCCTCACCACCCCAGGAAGTTTCAGCTTATGCTGCTTCCAACCAATTGTCCTCCACCACCAGATGTCACTTTCTGATTTTTTATAGCTTCGTGTTGCCATTATGACAATACATCTGGTGGCTCCCTCCAAGCAATTTTTTTCTTTGACAATTTTTATTTTTTTGAGACAGCATCTCCCTATGTAGCCCTGGAACCTGCTATGCAGGCAAGGCTCAAGGGTGGCCCCAAACTCACAGAGATCTTCAGACTCCTACTTCCGGAGTGCTGAGAATGCCACCACAGCCCAATTTTTTGGACATTCTTTCATAGTTCTTTGTTGTGGGAAAACACTTGTGATGTTATATTCAGTTTAGTGAGCACTAGCTAATATCAAAATAGTGATCATGACTGGGGTAGAGCTCGGTGATAAAGCATGGGAGGAAGAGGAAGGAAGGCGAGGAGAGAGAGCAGGAAAGAGACCAAACTGTCAGGGAGGATAAATTATAAAATCCTGGAAAAGAGAAGAAATATAAGTCTGGGTGTGGGCATAGTGGGCATTCTTTCAAGACAGGGTTTCTCTGTAGACCAGGCTGGCCTCTGCCTCCCAAATGCTGGGATTAAAAAAAGCATGTGCCACCATTTCCAGTTTAGATTTTTAACTTTTAACAAGAAAGTTGTACTGAATTTTTTTTTTTTTTTTTTTTTTTTTTTTTTTGAGTCAGGGACTCACTATGTAGTCCTGGCTATCCTAGAACTTGTAATATAGAGCAGCCTGACCTGGAGTTCACCTGCCTCTGCTGGTAATAGACATGCCAGCCTGAAAGTCTCAAATGTCACCTAGTCATACCTTAGGCACCCAAGAGCTGGGATTACAGCCATGAGCCACCTTGCTTGGCTAGAGGTAAAAATTTAATTTACTAGAAGTAAAAAAGTGGCCAGAACTGGAGATTGGTCTTGATGGTAGAGCAATGGCCTAGTATACACACAATCCAGCGGGGAGGAGAGAGTCGGGAAGGAGGGAGGAGATGGGAAGGATAAGGCTCATTCTAATTTATCTTTTTACCACCTTCCCTCTCAAGTAACAGAAAGATGGCTCAGCTATTAAGACCACTGGCTGCTCTTCACTAAGACCCAGGTTTGAGTCTTAGTACCACAGAGCCTGTAACTCCAGTTCTGGGGGATCTGATGCCCCCTTCCGGCCACTCTGGGCACCACACACACATGTGATGCATAGATACACAGGCAAAACTCCACATATATTAAATAAGGTTTTTTTGTTTTTGTTTTTGTTTTGTTTTTTTTTTTTAAAGAAACAGAAGATGGGGTGTGGTGTGCTAGCACACCCCTTTAATTCAGCACATGGCAAGCAGAGGTGGGGGAAGCTTTGAGTTCCAAAACAGCCAGGGCTACACAGTGGGAGCCTGAACAGGAACTGTTGGTTCTGTGGAAGCACGAATACTTACAGCTTATACAACTGTACAAACACTGTGTAGAAGAGTGTTGTTCTAAGGTGTCTATGTTATTTCATCCTTACTACAACCCTAAGACAGAGAGACAAGTTTGAAGCTTGGCAATCTAACTTTGTAGCACAGCACAATCTTAGTTTTACTGTTGTTGGTAGTGGAGGTGTATGTAGCCCAGACCGGCCTTTAACTCGTAATCCTCCTACTTTAGTCTCCTGAGTGCTGAGATTACTAGCATGTGCCTCCACACCCAGCATGACCTCACTTTTCAAGCAAGACTAAAAATATGCAGGGACAGCCCCCTCTAATGGCTAAGAAACAGAGAAGTCATCAATTCCAGTGATATGTTAAAAAAAAAAAAAAGGACTACTTTTGAAACTGTCAATCAATTTTAGAACTTAATCTTACAAGATCACTGTGGGAGCCATCTCCAGCAGTTCTCTTTTTAAATACTGTGTATGTGTACCTGAGTGTGTGTATGTATGTGTACCATGTGTGGGCAGGAGGCTGCAGAAATCAAGAGAGTCAAAAATCACCTGAAACTGTTCCAGACAGGTGATAGCTGCCATGTTAAGATGCTGGGAAAATTTGTATTGGCTGGGCAGTGGTGGCACACATCTTTAATCCCAGCACTCAGGAGGCAGAGATGCCCTTAGAGGTCAAATCCCCTGAGACTGGAGTTATGGATGCTACTGAACTACCATGTGGGTGCTGGGAAGTGAACCTGGGTCCTCTGCAAGAGGAGCCCATGCTCTTAACCACTGAGCCATCTCTCTACCTCAACCTCAGTGCTTCTTGCTCCTGGGGTGAACACATGTGGATCCTCCCTTCTCACGCTGGAATGCTGGTAATTTTGCCGCTCAGATGGTAGAGAAATCATGGCAATGTCTGAAGTCAGGACATAAAACACTGCAGCCACTGCCTTGCTCTTGGGTGTTTAACAGTTCTAGAAGCGATTCCACGCAGCAGATCCTATTCCTAGTCATGGCAGCTCCCAGCCCACACGGACTGCTACTGTGTCATTTAAACACCAGGATTAATGATCTGTGTCCTCTCCTTAAGTCTGCATGGGTTTCTGACTACTGTAACAGTGAGCATACAATAGCCATAAGGGCATGTGACCTCCGGAGCAGATAAGATGGAACACAGCTACTGCCTTATTCCCTATAACATCTGGAGTCTTCAGGTGCCTATGTGATTACCTAAGGCCCCCATATACCAGGGAAGGCTACACTATACAGAAGGGACACAAGTGACTGGTTAGCACTGTTCTATTTCTACCATGCCCAGCCCAAGTGTAGGTAAATGAGCACTGGATGGACCAACTCCAGCCTAATGATCCCTCAATCTTCCTACTGAAAACCTAGATGTGGGACAGAAACTAATTCTTGTCCTTGCCCCGTTGAAATGATCCAACTGGGCCTGCAGGCATTCCAAAATTGCTAAATCGTTAAAATCTGATCATTTGCCTTACAGTAATAGTAACAAGAACCTCCCTGTTACTCCTGACAGGTTTTAAATTCCCCATTAGTCTATAGGATAAACGACGTTCAGGGTGCCAAGAGTATAATGTCTACGGGTGAAATGAGCAAGAAACAAACACACGGGCCAAGTACAGCTCAGTGGCTCAGTATTTGCCTAGCCTGAGCAAGACCCTGGGTTCTACCAGAGCACAGAAAAGAAAATAGGGAGGGAGAGCACGGGAGAGGGGAAGGGAGGAAGACAGAACCCAGCAATTGAATCAAAATATTCATCTGAGTCAATATGAATTTTATTAACACACATTTGTCAAAGTCTGTACAAACCAAAACATTCCTATGTTTTAAAATGTCCATTATTACAAACATACAAAGAAACGGAAGGTGTTACCAAAAGTTACTCAATTTCATGGTAAAATGCTGTCATGATTTAAAAAACAAACAAACAAACAAACAAAAAAATATCAACATTTCAAGACTGAGATTTACTCTTTACCATTCAGGAGCTCATGGTAGTTTAGAAAATGTGTAGGTTTGCTGAGTATTAAATGCTAAGACCTTAAAAAAAAGAATTAGTACAAAACTAAATGAGCGTTTGTGTACTTTCACAATTCACATTCACAATTTCTCAGTCTTAGTTTTAAGAAACCGTGACTCATTCTTTTTCTACCTTCTTTTCCCCACAGCCGAAGCAAATGCATCTGAAATATAGTGTATGACAGTTATCTTTACCTAAAAGTTTCTCATTCAAAAAGTTACAAAATGATTCAGCACAGCACCCTTCCAAGCAGGGAAAACTGTATTCCCTACCATGGTGACATCTAAATACATGGCCCTTCCAGTCTCCTGTCAGAAAGAGCACTCACGTCAACATCTGTCCCTCCGTGTGCATGAGTCTCTTCTGACAATGCAATCACTAACTTCAGAGCACCTGCTGGGAACAGTGACCTTTGCTGTCCAATGCTGGTGGATGTGGTCCAAACGTCACCTGTCTTCACCATCGGCTCTAACTCTGGTACCGTTTGCACCGATTCCAGGGTTTGTTGTGTGTCATGGCACATACTGCCCGTCTCTAGTTGCTTTCACAAACATAGAGGAGTGAGGCTCCACATGAACCTATCCCTTCCCACCCGTCTACTGGGTCAAAATAAGGAGAAGGGCACACTCAGGGAGGCCCAGCTGCTCCCAGGACAGGATGAGGACAGGGGGTAAGGCGCAGTGAGATGTCTCCCCACCACACAGCCCACACTGAGCCCTGAAAACACAGTAGTTCAAATCTTATCCCACTTGACTCTGCTCATGTTAAAAGAAAAAAAAAAAGTGTTCTGTTAACAGCCTAGTATGACACTGACACAAGCAAGAAACAGGTATGCTTTTAAAAAAGAAGTGGCAACGTGGGAATTTACAATTATGTAAAAGGAGGGGGGTAGGTAGAGGGGAAGTGTCCAGTACAACCTGGACAACCGTTCTTTCTGCCCTTACTTAAAGACAGACTGGTCAATCTCTGCACCCTTAAGCATCTCCTCAATGCTCTCCCAGAGTCCTCCGAAGGCACTTAGCTCCACACTTACGCCTCCAGCATTTACCTTTACTCTAAGGTAACGAGAAAGAAAAGATCGGATTCTCTTACTAAAAGCTAGCAAACAAGACTGCATTTTTTTCTTTTTTCCAAAGAGGCATTGCTTTTACAAGAACTAGCTAGGCTACCATCATTCCTTTATCAAGAAAAGGTTTCCTTTTTAAAAAATAAATAAAACTCTGTCTATACATAGTACAAAGGTCATACATAATATACCTGGAAAAAACCCAAGAGTATACCCTGAAGCAAAAGGTTTATTGGCGAGAGAAAGCCTCTCTCACCGCACGAAGTCTCAAGGTGGCAGTTTTCAAGGTTCAGAGGGTGGCAGTGATGGTGGCAGTGATGCACAGTGGACGACAGGTGTGACAGTGGACAGAAACTCTGCACATAACACTGAGCAGTGACCACTATGGAAAACATCAAGTACTAAAGTGGGGAGCGCACAGGGGAGCGGAGGAGGAGCAGGTCTGAAACCCCAAACGCTCAGCATGCAGGCATAACGGCACAAACCAGGTGTTTCCATTCAGCCCACTACATTCGCACAAAGAAGGGTAACGGTTAAGAAAATAGAGATTTTGTAAGAAAGCACAATTCCCAGAGAACAGCCAGGTTGCCAACCCTGACCCAGGAGCACTGGCTGTTGTTGCTGGGAGCCTTCTCAGGGTCTTCATGGAGATGTTATGGTGCCCGACTTCTCAGACTTCTTGCTCTTGGACAAAGCAGCTGCCTGTTTCAGAAGCTCTCTGTTTTTGGCCTAAAAACCATAAAAATAAGTCAGTGCAAGAGCAGCTTTCCCAGGACAGTCTGTGCTTTCTGCGCAGAATGAGTTTAATGGGTAATGATAATAACGGTAAGGTCTGTGTGGATGTAAGGGGGTGAGGGAGCACTCTGAGAGGCAGGCACTGGTCCAGAGAAGGGAAATCAACAGGAAGTTCTGGGGCTTGACACCTGGTTAAGTAAAAAAGTATCTGGTAGATGTGCACTGGTGAGTTTGATCTACAAAAAGATGGTGTGTACAACACACACCAGCCAGGGAGCCCTACTGAGCAAGATAAGTAGGATTATAGTTCAGATATCTGGACTCACATCTGGTGAATTAAAGAAATAAAAGGGTACATTTGTTAATTCCAGTTCTTGAGAGAAGAAGATGAAAACACAGGGCTGGAGAGATGTCTCAGAGGTTAAGAGCACTGGTTGTTCTTCCAGAGGTCCTGAGTTCAATTCCCAGTACCCACATGGTGGCTCACAACCATCTGCAATGAGATCCGGTGCCCTTTTCTGGCCTGCGGGCATACATTCGGGCAGAACACTATACATAATAAATAAATCAAAAAAAAAAAGACAAAAAAAAAAAAAAAAAAGACAAAAACACACCTAGCTTAAATAAAACAATGAAAGCTGTCTGAAGGGGTTTGTGCACTTTGTAAACACCCAGAGAGAGAAAGCAATGTAAGGGATGGTTATCAAACAAAACCCTCAGCACACCAGGTCACCACATACCTGCAACTGCTCTGTGACTTCCTTGTGGGTTTTCTCCATTTGATTCATTTTGGCCCGAGTCTGAGACTCCTGATACTGAAAATCAGCCTTCAGCTCTGTAATCTGAAGGAAAAAAATCAGAGTGACTCAAACAACTTGATAATGGTAAATGTTTTGGTATCAGACATCTAAACAGACAGTCGTCCAATTTAATGGAATCACCATCCATTGAGGACATACAGTATCCTTTTCCTTAAGGCTTTTCTGAAGATTCACAAACTCCCAAGCTCTTCCTTGCCCCCTCTCTTCTATTCTTCCTTTTTGGGTTTCATTCCCCGGGCTATCTTCAAAGTCCTAGGGTCAAGAATTCTCCTGGCTCAGCCTCCCAAGTGGCTGTGGTTACAGCTGCATACCGCCTCCCCCAACTCTGAGTAAACATTTCTGGCTGGCCATGATGGTTGTGCATACATGTAATCTAAGCACTCAAGAGGCCAAGGCAGTGCGGCAGGGCTACCTCAAGGACAGCCTAGGCTCTACAGTGAAACTGTCTCAAAAACAAACACACCCACCCAAACAACAACAGCAAAGAACTTTGGGTACTTAAACTACTAATCCTTTTAAGATTTGACAGCTCCAACAATTCTCCGAATGCTCAACTACAAATAAAAGTTGACAGGGTTTGAGAAGAGTAGAGAGTAATCATTGCTCTCATTTCCAAGAACACTGATGTATTATTTTATTCAATCTTTATTATTTTATTTAGATTTTTTTTAAAAATTCTATTATTTATGTATGACACGTGGGCACAAAAGTGACACAGCACATACTTGGAGGTCAGAGGACAACTCTGTGGAGTTTCAGTCTCTAGGGATCCGGTTCAGGTTGTCAGGCCTTGGCAGCTAGCAACTGAGCCACTGAGCCATCTCAGCACACCTACTGTGTTTACAAAAACATTTCTAAGTTACATTTGCTTATCTACTTACATGTGAGTGTGTGTGCCACAGTGTGCATGTGGAGGCAGGGAACTTGAAGGAGTCTGCTCTCTCTTTCTATGGTGTAGACCCTGGGGATCGAACTCAGGTCACTGGCTTTGGTGGCAAGCACCTGAGACTGTTGAACCACCTCACTGGCCCTATTGTTTTTTAAAATTAACTCATACTTTGTCTGAGGTCTAAAGGTTAAAGTATGCCACAAGGACCAGCAGTGTCAATGTGCTGATTTCCAACTCTACACACCAGACTCACGTCTATTGCTGCATATGAATTTAGTCCCAGCGCTTGGGAAGCAAAAGCAGGTGGATCTCTGAGTTCAAGGCCAGCCCAGTCTACGAATGAGTTCCAGAACAACCATGGCTACACAAAGCAACTCTATCTCAAAAAACAAAACTAAAACAGTTTGGGTCATGGTGGCACACATCTTTAATCCCAGTATTTGGAAGGCAGAGGCAGAATGAGCTCTGTGAGTTCAAGGTCAGCCTGGTCTACAAAGTGAGCTCCAGGACAGTCAGGACTACATAGAGAAACCCTGTCTTGAAAACAAAACAAAACAAAACAAAACAAAAAACAAGCAAGAGACCAATGAGCTGGCTCAGTGGGGAAAATGCCACCAAGTCTATGACCAGGTTGCAAACCCCTGGACACATGCCTCCACATACACACTGTGAAATGTGTCCACCCCATAAATAAATAAAATGTTTAAAAGAAACTTTAAAGCATGAAGACATAATATCAATACTAAAGATGTTAAGGTATTCAGTATTTATGGCAGTTCAGTTAGTACGGCAACTATCATCAATGAAACAGCTCTGTAAAAATCAAGGAGCCAGGCATGTTTCTTGTAACCCTAACACTTGGGATGTGAAAGCAGAAGTTTTGCTGTAAATTGGAGGTTAACTTGGTCCACAGAGCACATTCCAGACCAGTCAGGCCTACATATCAAGATCCTATCTCAAAAATCAAAACTGGGGCTGGAGAGTTGCCTCACCTGTTACTCCAGAGCCAGTGGCTCTAATGCCCTCATTCAACCTCCAAGGACACCATGCACACTTGTGGTACATGTACACACATGCAGGCAAATACTCAGACACTTAAGAAATAAATCTAAGGCTGGGTATTGGTGGCTCATGATGCCTTTAATCCCACTGCTCAGGAGACAAGCAGGCAAATCGGAGTTTGAGGCCAGCCTGATCTATAGAGCAAGTACCAGGCCAGGGCCAAAAATAAAATAAAAGTCTATAAAGAGTCATCAAATCATCCAGGAAGAAATGACACATAGGCATCAGGTTGTTATAGCCTGAGAGTATTTATATCCCAATTCTATACCCACTCCCCACTCAGCACCTTCTCCCCTCCCCCCTTTTTTCCTTTTCTTAGACAGAGCCCAGGCTGGTCTAGAACTCATCATTCTGCATTGCTTCCTAACTCCTGGGATTATAGGTTTGTGCCAGCATGCCTGGCTTTTATTCAATACCTTGAGATGGCAACCTTTTACGACAGCTCACACTAAGTAGTTTATTACTAGAAATGTAGCTCAGTGACACAACACTTCCTAGCACCTCCTCACCACACCCGTGTACACACAGACACACACAGAAATACATTGTTATATGCTCCCTGCTGGAGACTGAACTCTAGGCCTGCCTGGAGCATACTAGACAAGCACTTGGCACTGAGCTTCACCTTCGGCTTTACACATAGTTTTTTAAACTGTTAGACTCATTATCTAATGTCCTGCTGAGAAGTGGAAGCTCCTCGGAAATGCTGAGAAAGATCAGCTTTCTGAACCCCTAGGCTGAATGTCATCCCAGGAATCAACTTGGCAAACAGACACCTCTTCTCCAGGAGTCTGTACCCAACAGAGGAAGCATCATCTCCCACTGCACTCATACCTTCTTCTCTTTCTCTAATATCATCTGATCCTTCTGATGCAGCATCTTCTTCAGAGTGGCCACCTCTTCCTTCAGCTGGGCAATGATGACAAAGTGATCAGTGCCGGGGGAATCCAGAGCCAGGTCTGGGGAAAAGCTGAGCAGTAAACGAAGACAGAAATTTCATAACTTGAATGGAAAACTTTTCTCTACCTAGGACACACTCCAGGTCACCTGGCGGTGACCTTAGGGTCAGTAACTATTTGAATTCTGGCCAACAAAGTACATTGGTCAGTGCACTTCAGACTCACCAGTATCTGCTGGACTTGAACCAAGCACAGGAAAGGTGGGCATCAGAAAACGATGCTAATCCAACTACAACTCCATAACCTCTCAAAAGTGAGACCAAAATAAACATGACATCCCAAAAGCTAAGGTTACTACTTCAGGCTTGGTGAAGATCTCCAGGTGTTACTGGTCATACAGCCATGTTTGTGATTAGAGATCTTTCCTAGAATCCTGGATAGACTATCAATTATGAGCGCAAGCCCCTAAGAAACTGAGGTACCTGGTGGCACACACCTTTAATCCCAGCACTCAGGAGGCAGAGGCAGGTGTATTTCTGTGAGTTTGAGGCCAGCCTGGTCTACAGACTGAGTTCCAGAATAGTCAGGGCTACACAGAGAAACCTTGTCTGGAAAAACCAAAACAAGAGAAAGAAGAAAAGAAACTGCAGCCCCAACCATCCAGTCTCCCCTAAAAAGATGGGGTGTACAGGAAGACTAGCTTCTGTGCTACACTGGCAGCCTATAACCTTAATATTCAGCAGGACGAGGCAACAAGACTGCTGTAGTCTGAGGCAGGCCTAGGCTATATATATAGTGAATTTCAGGACAGTCTGAGCTATCATATGAGACATGGCCTCAAAAAACAACAAAAACAATTTGTGATGCTTGGTGGAGAAAGGGCCAAAGGCACCAAACTCCAGTCATGTCACATGCTTTCTACAACGCACTACTTTGTGCTGGTGGCTCTCATGTCCTTTTAGCAGACCCTCCTAACCTCTCCCACTTCAGGTATCTGTAAGGCCCTGAAATTACTTCAAAATCTTTTCTGGGTGAGGATCCAAAGTCTTCCGTATATCAGAGGTGCCTCAGACTAAACAAGGAATCACTGAAGGTCACTTCCTGTTTTTCTTCAGGGAATTCCCACAGGAAGTTCTGTACTCTTCTTGACAATCTTTAAAGCAACACACAAATGTGGATACTGATCTCAATCCTCTGTCACAGCCCCTTGAGTTTGCTCCTTCCTGAACCTTACATGGCAGCTAAAATGCAGCCTTTCTACTGCACATGCTCCCTCAGTTTCCAGTCAGACACTCCTAAGGCTGGGGCTGGAAGACAGCAGGCAACTACTGACCACAGCATTACCCTCACTCAACCCATCCACTTGAGGCATCTGGGACAGAGCCCTGGAGGGGACTAAACTGATGCTCTCCTAAATGACCAATATGCACAAGTGTAAGTTCAGGATGAGCAATAGCCAATCAAAATAATAAACCAGGCATTCAGGATAAGGGCCATCAGTCTTCTTTCTCCAAGTTCAATTCTGGAAGTTTCCTTGTATCTATTTCAATATCCAACAAAACATGTCTTTCCTCAACCCGACAGCCTATTTAAACTCACAACTAGAGCAGGTAAGGGCAGAGTACATGCTGACCTAGTGTAAATTTTCACTGTCTCCTACGCTCCAAACACTCTGCTCTACTTGCTTCTTAGGAGACAATCTCTGCTGTTGGCAGTGCTGAGGATTGAAGCTAGGGCCTCGTGCACGAGAGGAGAGCATTCAACCACAGGGCTTAGATGCAGGCCATAGCAATCACTCTTGTACCAATCAATTGTGGCAAAATCAGCCCAGTCTATCCTGCATTAGGGCCTGATCCCTCTGACTCTAGGACTGCCTACAGCGCACTTAGCAGTATGACTGAAGACTAAGGGGTGGATTTTTCTCAAGAAAGGAACACTGGCTAACTCATATCCCTTTGATGGGAGATGTCATTTTGTAAATATGTTTCTCCATATTAACCCAATTTATATGTTTTTAAAATGCTTTAACTTCAAAATTTAAGTCTAAGGACAGGTTACTAGGGAAAAGAATTCTAATTCCCAAATACTGTCTATAAATATTTATTTTCATTTAAATGGGCTTGGTTATAAATGGTTAATAATCACAACCAATCTCTTTTTAAGGTAAAAAGGGGATTATGATATAGAAATGAATACTTTGTTTTGGAATGAATTTTCATTTATCGATACAAATTTAAGGTCAATTTTGTGATAAGTATTATCTCTCTTGTTTAGGTATTGTGTTTATATAGCTCATTTGAAAATGTAATATATAACTAAGTATAGATTGTAGTTACCTATGATAGTTAAAACTTATAGTTAAGTTAGTTAAGTTTTCTAGATATACAGAAATATATTTCAAATGGATAGGCATTCTTCAAACCTTTCAAAGACCTACAAAATATGGCATTTAAAATGGTTTAGGGTTTTTCTTAATAGTGAGGCACAACTGCTCCTGGCAACATCACCTTCATCAGAAAGGAAGATGGACATCGAAGAAATTCCTAAGGAAGCTTACTTCCAATATGGCAAGACTAGCCATTTGGGCAAGATACTGCTCTTGTCTAAACTGTTCGACTTTATGCTGTATAAACTGGACATGCATGACCAACAGGAAAATGACTGCTAAAACAAGATGGACAGTGCTATATAGGGTTTCTGATTCATGGAAGAGTCTTCCAGACATTCTACAAGACACAGAGAAAAGTAACTGACAAACTGCCAATACAGGTGGACAGTTTAAACTTTCCTGCTTTTCTAAGGTGTCTGCCAGACACACCATGGCCTATAGGTTAAAGATGGAACATTACAGAAGAACTTCAGGTGACTGAACAGGTAGTGAGATGTCTCTGTCGTTTCTAGAGTTTATATACTATCTTTCTATGGTCTTTGATGTAGTTGAAGGCAGATAGTGATGGTTATAATTTTCCTTAATTAGGATTAAAGATAAGTAACATATAAGACTAGACTCACAAAGATAGGATATTTTCTTTAAATCTTGCTAAATGTTAATGGACTAAACATTATTAACTATAGTTCTTGCTTAATAACTGTTTTGTTATATATTTTACTATGTTAAAGTTAAAACCCTTCTTTTTAAACAGAAAAGAGGAGATGATGGGAGATGTCATTCTGTAAATATGTTTCTCTTATAGGTTAATGAATAAAGCCCTGTTGGCAAATAGGAAGGCAAGATAGGCATGACTAGGACACAAGGAGGATTCTGGTAGATGTAAAAGGGGAGATTCAAGATATAGAGACTTGAGAAGAAGGTCCAGACTCTCTCTCTGGTAAGATAAGGCCACGTGGAAATACTTAGATTAATAGAAATGGGTTAATATTTAAGACAAGAGCTAGACAATAAGAAACAATAGTAATAAGCCAAGAGCTTTATATTTAATACAGCATCTCTATGTGTTATCTGGGGCTGACACAGCTATGGGTCCAGGCTGGTGGGAAAACTGCTCATAACATTCCTCAAATCAGAAAGTTTTGGTCACAACTTTAACTAGCAAATTAGAAATATTGAGTGGAGGCTGTGAATTTTGTAGGCTACTGAAAAACAAATAGACTAAGATACCTTCTAGGTTTCAGAACATCACAGAAAACTAAGATAATGTGTTCTGTCTACAACATGAAAAGCTAAGGGACAATGAATAAGGCAATGAATAATGGCTAGGCACGGTGGTGCATGCCATTAATTCTATCACTTGGGAGGGGGAGGGGAGGTGGATGCAGGCAGATCCCTGAGTTCCAAACCAGCCTAGATATGAATAGAAAGTTCCAGGATTGCTTCTTAGTCTTTTGACTAAGACGAAGTCTTTATATAGTAATATTCATATCAATTTAATAGAAAATTCCAGGCCAGCCAGGTCTACATAGTGAGACCCTGTGTCAAACAAAGAGACAGAGAGAGAGAAAGAGAGAGAGAGAAGAGAGAGAATGTAACTCAAACATGCCTCAATATTAAATAAGGGAATATGGCAATATAAGATCAACACAGAACTGCCATGAAGGAACATACAGAAGACATAAGGAATAAAGTTTAAGGACTAAAAGCATAAATTAAAAAAAAAAATAGTGTTGAAGATTGAAAACTAAGGGCCCTCTGCTAAGGAAGCACTCACCAGTTACTCAACAGCTGCTCCCATCCCCCAGTGCATGAATATATATACCATACTTCAGGGATAAGGAAGAACCTTAGTTGACAATGTTTGTGCACTATGCACAAGGCCCTGGGTTGGTTCTCTAGTAAAACATAAACCTGGCAAGAGTGGCCCATGCTTGTAATTCCAGGTCTCAGGAGGTAGAGATGGGACAATCAGAAGTTCAAGGTCATCCTCCATTACACAGAGAATGAGATTAGCCTGGGATACACTGTCCCATTTACACACACACACACACACACACACACACACACACACACACACACACAATGAAGTGCTTGCTTTGGCAGAACATATACTAAAATGGGAAGATTTTGTATTGAAAAATACAAAGATCACCATGGCCCCTGTGTAAGGAGGATATGCTAATCCCTGAAGCATTTCATATTTATAAATAAAATATTGTTTGAATATTTAAAAAGGAGCATCAAAATTTGTAAAAATAGCCAGGCATTGGTGGTGCACGCCTTTAATCTCAGTACTCAAGAGACAAGTGGATCTCTGTGAGTGAAGAGTCCAGCCTGGTCTTCAGAGCTAATCCCAGGACAAGCTCCAAAGCCACAGAGAAACCCTGTATCAAACAACAACAAGAAAAAAATTTGTAAAAATGCCTTTGCATTGTTTCTGTAAAGTGTCCGTGCACTCCAGGCTGGTCTGGGGCTCCCTATGTAGCTGAGAATGACCTTGAACCCTTGACTCTCCTGTCTCTACCTCCTGAGTGCTGAGATGAGAAGTAGGTGACACTAGCCCCTCCTTTTTTGGTTCAAAACAAAGAAAAAGCAGGAAAAAAAAAAAAAACCCACAAAAAGTATAACAAAATTTAACTTATGTTGTGTTATGAAAACTTAAAAGAAAAAATGTAAACAAGCAACTAAATTATTAAAAGGACTAATGTGTGAACATTCAAAAGGAATATGTTATGGATGAACATTTCTGTGACAGCAGAAAAATAAATCACCTAAATTTTCAAATTGTAAGATAAACATGGTGGCACATCCTGCAATCAGTGGCTGGGGTAAGAGGATCATCTAAAGTCTGAGGTCAGCCTGGATTACCACCAAGTTCCAGGAGAACCAAAATTGCAGTGAGACTATCTCCAACCCTGCACTCCCCAGACAGAAAAATAAAAATAACAACCTTTTAAATCTATGAGGCTAGGGATGCAGCCTGGTGGTAGAGTACTTTCCTAAAGGGAGAAAGCCCTGGAATTCCCAATATCACATACACACAAAAACAGTATGGAGAAAAATGATCTTTTAATGTCTTCTCTGGAGGACATAATCATGTACCTAGCATCCCACCCAGCAAAACCATCCTTACTTGTGGCTGGGATATGATTCAACAATCTGCAGGGCCAGTCTAGGTTTTAGCTTGGTGCATCCAAGGTAACAGAGTGTAAGATTAAAGGCAAATACCTCAAGACAAACAAGCTGGCAAGAGGTGAAGCTGCTAAAGACTGGGCTGACAGAACCTCAGCTATCAATGAGCTTCCCAGGACCACCAGCACAGCCTGGGGATAAGGATAAGTAAGCTGATAGGAATGGAGGACCTGAAAGTACAGGGCTGGGCTTTAGTGGCCCTGCATTCTAGGGCTTCAAAAAAAGTGTTCCTTGAAGCAGTTCACAGGATCATGCAAAGATGATGGCACATCTGTTTTCTTCACAACAACCCAACTAGCTGCTGAAAAGAATGGGCGAAGAGACTAGACAGTTGGTCTGCATGGTTCTTTCCCACATACAACCTGAAAAACTTATGCATTTCCCAAAGGTTCAAGAAGTTGAAAACCGATGGGCAATGGTGGCATGCCTTTAATCCCAGCCCTCAAAAGGCAGAGACAGGCAGATCTCTGTTTTCAAGGCCAGTCTGGTCTACAGAACAAGTTCCAGGACAGCCAGAGCTGTTACACAGAGAAACTGTCTCCAAAAAAAAAAAGTTGAAAACCAATTAAACTAGTGTCAACAGACACTACTACCTCAGTAGGACCTAAAATCAAGGAAATAAAAACTGCAACAGGAAGAGGAGACTCCACAGACAGTTACACTCTGTGAGACAAAGCAACAGGCAGGGAGAGCGACAAATGTGAGCTCTCAGGATGGAGAAACTTCCAAAGACTTTGGGGAAGTGTCAGTGATCTCAATTCAGAATGCCTGAGCCCGGAGGAACAGGAAATGATGTCTCCACAACTCTGTTGGGAAGAGGCCCACTGCACCAACACAGACGGGCTCTAGGTACTAGGACAAAGCAGCTCATGAGAGGAAGCATCGATGAGAAGGAGAAAACATGCACTTAGGCCAAAACTGAAACAGAAACACTGAACTGTATCTCTCTCGCTTGTCCTGGCATCTATACAAGTAGACACTGAAGAAGTGTGGAGTACCCTGGCAGACATACAGCTCTGCCTTCACCCCTCTTCTACGCTCTCTAAACCAGCTCTTCCTGGAGACTACAGGCACACAACACAGAAGACCACCCATCTCCTCACTTCAGACTTCCTTAGTGGACTACAGAATTTAACTATAGTTAATCTGGTTGCTAGTTCTAAATGTGTATTTTTTATTTTTGAACTGGGTTTCACTATGTAGCCCTGGCTGACCTTGAACTCAAAGATCTATCTGCCTCTGCTGGGATTAAAAGAGTGTGCCATCACAACCAACTATATGGCCAACTATATGGACTGCCCTTGAACTCAAGGTCACTCATCTAACTCAACCTTCCAAATTCTGAGACTATGAGCATGAGCCAACACGCCCACTAAGTTCTTATATCCAACTGATATACAACTATCAGTAGCGCTTATATATAATTATAAGGTGACTAGCATAGGACCCACAACAGGTCCACTCAGGACCCTGGCTAGCTCCAAGGTACTCCCTCAAGTGTAGTCAAGAACTACGTAAGTGCTTCAAGTGTGCGTACACTCATACTCCAACTGGCTCACCTGTCTCCGTTAGTTGTGATTGACTCAAACTTGGATTTTTTCTTTGGGATTTCATTTTGAATTGAAGATGTAGAAAGTGTTTTCTGGCTTTTGATGGCAAAAAGAGAGAGACACAGATTAGAAATCAAGGATTAATAAAATACTCCAAGGAAAGTCTGTCAAATGGACCAACAATGTTCTGGGCAACAGCTTTATAATTTTTTTTATTTTTATTTATTTATTTATTTATTTATTTTTTGGTTTTTCGAGGCCGAGTTTCTCTGTATTGTTTTGGAGGCTGTCCTGGAACTAGCTGTGTAGACCAGGCTGGCCTCAAACTCACAAAGATTCGCCTGCCTCTGCCTCCCAAGTCCTGGGATTAAAGGCATGCACCACAGCCTGACCAAAAAATTATTTTTGATTAGTGAAATCTACTAAGGTGATTTAGAGGTTTGGATGCTCAGATGCATAGGCAGCCAGTTTCTATTGTATCAAAAACCATTACTTACTTACTACCTAATTATTAGGTATGAAAATAGCCCTAGTCAAACTTTAAGAAGTATGTTTTCTGTTTTAGGAAGTCTTTCCCATTTCCTATCCCCCAAGCATCTTCCATCTCATAGCTCTGGGAAGTACAGACAAGCTATTCTCTGACAAGCCTGGCCCAAGGACATCCAGCATGAAAGTTGTAACAAGAGCCAAGCAGACACATCTGAACTCCTGGTCTTCCTCATCACATCTCTGTGAATTCACTCAAGACCTCAGTCCCACAATAAAGCTAGCTTTAAGTCTAATACAGTCACCCAAAACTGACTGAAACACCAAGATGGGAGTCTGTTGATGGGATGAAGTCCCTTTATACTGACAGATGTCCCAATGCTATACCCAAGCGAGGTGTGTGCTATTTTTTTTTATCTTGTGTGTGGGTATTTTGTCTGTATGTGCAATCTGCACACTGTGTGCATTGCCTATTGTCCTTAGAGGCCAGAAGCAGATATCAGATCCCCTGGAACTGGAGTTACAGATGGCTGGGAGTCACCATGAGGGTGCTGGGAAAAGAACCCAGGACCTCTCAAAGAGCAATGAGTGAGTGCTCTTAACCACTAAGCCACACTTCCCCCAAGTATGTGATTCCAGTGATTGCTGACCTCTCCTCAGTATGTGATTCCAGTGACTGCTCTATCCTTGGAACTCTTGACCACTGGAACTTCCTATTTTGAGGCTATTTTATTCTTGACTCTTGAATAATGAATGTTTCCAAATGCTTCTGTTCTCAGACTCCACTTTGAGTTGTACCATCCACACACACAGTTCTAACAGTGGCTTGTATGTAGTGGGGGTGAGAGTGGGAGTAGCTGGGGTATGTGAGAATGAGGTAGGATTTCATGTAGCTCACACTGGCCTAGAACTCCCTATGTAACTGCGGCTGGCCTTCCTGATCCTTCTGCTTCACCTCCAGAGTGCTGGGATTACAGGTGTGCATCACCATCTCCAGGCTGAGATGAAGTTCCTGTAACATTTCTTAGCTTACCTATACTTGCACAAAAAGAGTAGCCCCAATGGGAAGAGCTATAAACCCAAGCTTTGCAAACATTAGGCAACACTACACTGAGTTATATTCCCAGTCCTCAGTTCCCATTTCTTTCAGTGTCTTCTCTACTAGTCAGGGAAATTACTGCCAACACGGATGGGTCCTTCCCTTGCACAGGTCCCTTGCTGGCCGCCCATAAGACCAACCATGTGAGTAGTGCCCTTTCCTCCTCCTCCTCCAGTTTCCAACTATACAAATGGGCTGATGTTCTCCCAGGTTCTGTGTGGTCTCATGCCCTCTGGTCCCCTGGAAGCCTAGTCCCTCTACTAGGATACCTGCCCTGTCCTCTTCCGACAAGTCCAATCCACCCCAGGGGTAGTTACAGGAGGCTCTTCCCAAGCCAGCCTTCCTGACTTCCTAGGAAGTTAATTAGAACTGCTTCTCCTACCTGATTTGGACAAGTTTTCAAAGTGTGCCCATCCCATTAGACTGTGATGACTTGATTACAAGTCTGTCTTCTCTACCAGAAGGCATACTATTGAGAGCAGCATGGCTTTTATTCATCTCTGTATTCCCAGCAGAGTCTCTGGCCCACGAGAGTACTTAATAATGCCTAGTGAACAAACAAACCCATAATGACAGTAATAACAAAAACCAGCTAAAACCCATTGAATACCGTCATTAGAAAACAAACTGCTATTCATGTACTATATAATTTGCCTTCACAACAACCCCATGAGGAAACATTATTCTCTTTCTCATTGTCGATGAGAAAATTTGCTAGAGACAGGATTAAACCTAAGGCCCAATTCTCAACATCATTGCACATACTCTAAAAGGAAGATTCAGCCATCAACAAAAGGACATCTTTCAACTGGCTCCCACCCTGAAAAAGTCTAGAATACCTATCAACTATTTGTCCAAATATATATTTAAATGCAGTCAGTCCCTAGTCAGGAAACAAAACATCCAAACCCCACGAGATTATGCACAATTAAAGAAGAGAATTCCACCTAGAAGTTCTATACACCTAAAGACACAATACAGAAACCCCCCCCCCGCCCCCCGCCCCCCCCCCCGGCACTTGGAGACATACGAATTATAAATATGGAAAGCAAGAGACTTCCTAAAGCCTCATAACAATAGGAAACTTCTGAGATGGCGCCCTCCTGGACTGCCCGCGGAGTGAGGAGTGAGGCACTTGGCCTGCTGGCTCCTGCAGTCCCTCATGAACCTGGGGTTACCTGTTGTAATGGCTGCCACTACTCAGGCGACTGTACTGCTCCTTCTCCTGATGGCTGGCTCGAGAAGAGCTGCTCAGATGTTTCCTCTGCTCTTTGGTCTTCTGAAGGACACGCTTGTATGACAGTGTGCACAGCCAACACAGCAGCTTCCCATCTACCTAAAAACGAGACAAAATTAAGAGGTGAGATCAGTGCTCAACCATGAACACTAAGACGATGAGCACTGGCAGCTAGAACCACTGGGTTAAGCTTGCCAAGTGCAAGCTGTGTAAGCATGAGGCAAGTCACAGGATATACGTAAATTACCTAATATGGTGCCAAACACATAAAAATTGATTGTTTTATAGTGTATATCTTTACTCCAACACTCCACAGACAGAGGCGGGTGGACCTCTGAGTTTGAGGCCAGCCTGATCTACAGAGTGAGTTCCAGGACAGCCAGGGCTACAAAGAGAAACTGGTTTTCTTTTGAGACAGGGTCTCACCAAGTATCCTTGGCTCTCCTGGAACTCACTATGTAGTCCACAGATATCCATCTGCCTTTTCCTCCGAAGTGCTGGGATTAAAGATACACGGTATCATATGCGGGCCAACATCTTAAAAACAATGTTTTAGAATTATCTTATGTGTATAGGTGTGTTCTGCCTGAGTAGGTATCTGTGTACCACTCAAATGCCTGCTGTTTCTAGACGTCAGAAGAGTGCATCTAACTTCTGGAACTGGAGTTACAGATGGTTCAGGCTATCACATGGGTTCTGGGACCTGAATGCAGATCTATAAAAGCAAACCAAGTGCTTAACCCAAGACATCTCTCCAGGGTCCAACACCTTTCTTATTAAAGTCTAACTCTGCTTTAAGAAAAAAAAAAAAAAAAATCCAACTCAGGTATGGTAGCTCATAAGTCTGAGGCCAGCCTGGGTTACAAAGTGAGACTTTTGATCCCAGCACTTGGAAGGCTGAGGCTGGTGGATCTCTGGATCTCTAAGTTTGAGGTCAGCCTGGTATACAGATGAGTTCCAGAACAGCAAGTCCCAAACATATTTGGTCTTGAAAAACCAAATAAATAAATTTATCTTGCTGCCCCAGGGATGATGTCCCTAACTGGTTATCCAATACCAAGTGGTCAGTTCGAAAATCATATACATACAAACAGCACTAAATGGGCTGAGCAGGTTGTATTCACACATTTATGTGTTTATAAATATGTATGTAACAACAACAAAGAAAAAGAGGGCCTGAAATTTCAGAAGGAGGAAAAGATCAGGGAATATGGGAGAGTTGAAGGGAGAAAAAGGAAGGGACATAATTTTAAATTTTTTTGTTTTTTTCTGAAACAGAGTTTCTCTATGTAGCTCAGACTGGCCTCAAACTCAAGATGTGTCTGCCTTTGACTCCCAAGTGCTGGAATTAAAGGTGCGTGCCACCACTACCTAGCCTAATTTAAAATATTTTTAAATAAAAAATAAAATTTGAAGTAAAAAAAAATTATCTCAGTGTGGTGACACATGCCTACAATGCCAACACTCAGGAATGCAGGCAAGTGGATCAGGAGTGATGGGAGCCAATCTTACTACACACTGAGTGCAAAGCTGGCTGGGTTACATGAAACCTTATTTCAAAAAATAAAAAAGAAAGCCAAGTGTGGTGGTACAAATCTTTAAGATTAGCATTTGGGAGGCAGAAACAGGCAAACAGCCATTTGTTCAAGGCCTCCCTGAGCTACAGAGTTCCAGGACATCCAGGGCTACACAGTGAGAGCCTAATTCAAACAAAAAACAAACAAGCTATTTTCTGTAACTACCTCATTCAGTCTCCCTCTGTTTCTCTATCAGAAAACAATGAGAACAAATTGTCCAAAATTATTCAGCTAGCCCCAGGAATGAGACAGGACTCAGGTCTAAGGTATTGCAAAGCCCAAACTGTCCCCTATCCCTAGAGATGGACAGAACACTATTTTTTCCTCTTTATTTCTATTTATGTGTATTGGTGTTTTGCCAGCATGTGTGTCTATGTGCCATTTATGTAGAGTGCACTCGGAGGCCATAGAGGGTCTTGGATCTCTGGGACTGGAGTTTAAGAGGCTGTTGTGAGCTGCCACATGGGAGCTGGGACTCAATCCAGGGTCCTCTGGAAGAGCAGTGCTCTTAACCACTGAGCCACTTCTGCAGCCCAGGGAAGAGCATTACTCCCTACCTCCAGCTTTTCCAACATCTTTAGGGAAAGGTGTCCCAACTGACAGGCAGGAATATTTTCATCAATGAAAGTTATATCCCTCCACTAAAAATTAATCTGATTAGCAAGAGTCAGCCTTGAGGAGGTAGAGAGAGACAGATCCCTGTGAGTTTGTGGTCAGCCTGGTCTACAGAGTCAATGCTAGGACAGCCAGGGCTATGAAGAGAAACCCTTTCTCAAAAAACCAAAAGGAAACAAAAAGGAAGTCACTAGAGGGTTAAGCATAGAGAGAATAGCAAGACCAAACTCCAAACCATTTTGATCCATCAAGACACAGCAACTCCACATGCACATTCTATGTGATGTCATGCTGTGGTCTTTAACTTCAACAGATTTTTGCCAATTACCACTCATATGGAATATTGCTCACTATAATTTGAATTATTTAAAATTCTGTTGCACTGTTATTCATTCATGTGGAGAAGACTTTTTTATGCAGGTGGAGTGCAGAAGACAACTTACAGATGCCAATGTTCTCCTTCCACCATACGCACTCTGGACATGAACTCAGGTCATCAGGCTTGGAAACAAGAACCTTTATCCACTGAGCACTCTCACAGGCCCTAACCTGAATTATTAAGAAATGTTAAGAGAAGATGGGTGGTGATGCATACCTTTAGCTCCAGCACCTGTGAAGCAGGGGTGGATCTCTGAGTTTGAGGCCAGCCTAGTCTACAAAGCAAGCTCCAGGACAGTCAGGCCTATACAGAGAAACCCTGTCTCAAAAAACCAAAACAGGCTGGGTGGTAGTGGTATATACTTTTAATCTCAATATTCAGGAGGGAGAGGCAGGTGGATCTCTGGTAGTTCAAGGCCAGCCTGGTCTACAGAGTGAGTCCAAAACAGGCTCCAAAACTACAGAGAAACCCTGTCTCAAAACAAACAAATAAATAAATGAATACTGTTAGGGGCCAGCAAGACTGCTCAGCAGATAAACGCAAACCTAATGACCTCAGTTTAATACCTGAAATCCATATGATAAGAGAGAACGCTGAACTCTAAGGTGTACCTATGGTACAAAGGTGAGCACACACATGAACACAGAAGTAAACATATAAAATCTAACTGTAATGGGAAGAAATGGACAGGGCATGGTGGCACACAATTCTGATCTTAACAGTTAAAGCTAAATTGGTCTATACAGTGGTTTTCAAGCTAACCAGATACAAAGCAATCTTGTCTTAAAAAGCAAGCAGTGGTTAAGAGCCCTTGTTGTCCTTGTACAGAACCCAGATTTGATTTCCAGCATGCATGTGGTAACTTTCGACCACAACTAGCTCCACGTCCAGGGATATGATGCCCACTCCTGACCCTGTCCAGCACGCGCACACAAATACACACGTGCACACAAATACATACACACACACACACACACACACACACACACACACACACACACTATATATATATATATATGCAGGCCAAACACAAAGTAAGACAAATAATCCTAAGAAACACCATTTTTTGTTTTAAAGAAAAAAATGTGACTGCTAAGATGGTCCAGTAGGAAAGGCACTTGCAACCAAGCCTGTCCACCTGCGTTGGCTCCCTGGGACAGACATGGTGGAAACAAAGAACCTATCCCTGCAATCCCCCCCCCCCCACGCATACACACAAAGATGTTTACACTGTGGCAAGCATCCCTCTCATTGACACACAATAAATAAATGTAACAACAATAACAACAACAAAAAAAAACTACTTAAAGAAATGCTAAAATATAATGGTCTAGATTTGATAAATGAAGAAAGCAGTCTAACTCTCTGAGGTCAGTAACAGAAGGACAGAATTATGCCCTCCTGATTTGGCTCAATATAATTCAAAAAACCAAAAGACAAAGAAGAAAAGCCTAGCAATTTACCTTCTTTCGATCATCTCTCCTGTCAAACGCACACTGCTGCTTGCACTGTTCACAAGAATAAGGAGGTCCATACTTCTTCTCTGAATTTGTGCAGCGTTGGCATTTATTGCCAATAAATGCTGCAATTATGTTGCAATACTGACAAGGCTTAGGCTTAAAGGAGAGAAAAAGAAAGTATGAAGTAAGTATCATTTTTTTATAGTAGTAATTCCTACTCTGTAGCCTATGACACATGGTGAACACTATTCCCAACATCATGCATTTGTCTCTACATGTTCAAACAAAGACCAATTCTTTTTTGGGGGGCGGAGGGGCAGGGATTCTCTGTATTGCTTTGAAGCCTGTCCTGGAACTTGATCTGTAGACCAGGCTGGCCTCGAACTCAAGAGATCCACCTGCCTCTGCCTCTTGAGTGCTGGGATTAAAGGCATGTTCCACCAACGCCCAGCAAAGACCAATTCTTAGCATCATTAAAAAAATGATTGACTTTATTTTGGTTTATTGTTTTGTTTTGTTTTGTTTTGTTTTTTTGAGACAGGGTTTCTCTGTAGCTTTGGAGGCTGGCTTGGAACTCCTTCTGTAGACTAGGCTAGTCTTGAACTCATAGAAACATGCCTGCCTCTGCCTCCTGAGTAGTGCTGGGATTAAAGGTGTATGCCACCACTACCTGATGGATTATTCATTTTTTAAAATAAAATAGCAAATAGCCAAAGTTCATTAGTGTCCATGATGAAACTTCAACAAAAAAAATCCAGTAGAACACAGTTGAGTTTGAGCCAGCGTGGGATACATGAGACATTATCCCCAAAAAACAAACAGGCCAAGCATGGTGGTAAACACCTTTCTTTGATTCCAGCACTTTTGAGGCCAGCCAGAGCTACACAGTAAAAGTATGTCACACACACACACACACAGGCTAACCTTTTATATAAAAGAATGTTTGATGGATAAAGACATATTAAATGGTCCAAGACCAAAATAAAAATTGAGTCCACTTTGTGATTTTGCCATACCATTTCTATGGTGGGACCATAACGATAGACCAGAAAACAACAAGGTGGGTGGGCATGGTTGTGCTCAATGGGCAAAGGTGCTTGCCAATCCCAGAACTCACAAAGGTAGAGGAGAACAAACTCCAAAACTAACATTTACATACATGCTATGTCAACAAACAAATATCCAGGAGGGAAGGCAGGAAAGAAGGGAGAAGGAGGGGAAGACGGTGGAAAAAAGGAAGGTAAAGTTTATATATGATTTTTAAGCTTTTTATGTGCATGGGCATTTGCATATACATATGTGCAGTGCATGGGTACATTGTATTCAGAGGCCAAAAAGGGGCATCACATCCCCTGGAAATGGAGTCAACATGGTTGTGAGCCACCATGTGGGTGCCAGGAACTGAGCCATCGCTCCAGCCCTAGAGGTTGAGCTCTACGTGATCTGAGTACTCACTCCTGTTGGGATTTTGGTTCAGAGAAATCCTACTCACCGTTCCATACAGCTGCACGTTCTGAGCACACTTCTTGCATATTGTATTGGTTTTACTGTTGAAGAAAACAATGAAACAAGACTTCTCTTAGAACATCTGTAACCCATTCCTCTGAAATCCAAGGCACTTGTCATTGCTGAGGTGCTAGCGGTAGGGGGTGTATAGCCTGCACATTTGATAAACTAGTAATAAAACCCTAGTTTAAGGAGAGAATGAGTTTCTTCAGTTTGTGCCTCTCGCCCCCACCCCAGTTTGGTACTTTACTCATACAGCCCATTATGGTATAGATATGAATACTTTGTTTTGGAATGGATTTTCATTTATTGATACAATTTAAGGTAAATTTTGTGATATGTATATTTCTCCTCTTGTTTAGGTATTGTGTTTATATAGCTCAGTTAGAAATGTAATGTATAATGTAGTACAGATTATAGATAATTACCTATGATAGTCAAAGCTTATAGTTAAGTTAGGTTTTCAAGATACACAGAGATGTATTTGAGATAGATAGAAATTCTTCAAACCTTTCAAAGACCTACAGAATATGGCATTTAAAATGGTTTAGGGTTTTTCTTGAAAATGAGACATAATTGTTCCTGGCAACACCACCTGCGTCAGAAAGGAAGATGGACATTGAAGAAACTCATTATGGAGTTTACTTCCAATATGGCAAGACTAGCCATTTGGACAAGATACTGCTCTTGTCTGGACTGTTTGACTTTATGCTATATAATATAAGCTGGACATGCAGGACACAACGGAAAGTAACTGCTGATTCAAGATGGACATTGCTACAGAGATCCTGCTTCATGGAAGAGTCTGCCAGACAGTCTGCAGGACACAGAGAAAAGTGACTGACAAACTGCCAATACAAGAAGACAGTTTAAACTTTCCTGCTTTGCTAAAGAGTCTGCCAGACACACTATGGCCTGTGGGCTGAAGATGGAAGATTACAGAAGAACTTCAGGTGACTGACAAGGCAAGATGTCTCTGTCATTTCTAGAGTTTATATACTATCCTTCTGTGGTCTTTAAAGGAGTTGAAGACAGATAGTTATGGTTATAGTTCATTAGTTAGGATTAAAGATACGTTACTTAGACTTTAGACACACAAAGAATGATGGAATATTTTCTTCAAATCTTGCTAAATGTTAATGGACTAAATATTGTTAACTGTGATTCTTACTTGATAACTGTTGTATAATATATTTTGCTATGATAAGGTTAAAACCCTTCTTTTTATTTAGACAGAAAAGAGGAAATGATGGGAGATGTCATTCTGTATATGTTTCTCATACTGGTTAATAATAAAGCACCATTGGTCAAAAGGAAAGGAAGATAAGAGAGACAAGGAGGAAATAGGAAGTAGTAAGGAGGAGTCAAGATGGAGAATCTGGAGAGATCTGGACGCCAGCCGCCTCCCCGGTAAGAGAAGGCCATATGAAAATACATAGACAGCAAAAATGGGTTAATACTTAAGACAAAGCTAGCCAATAAGAAACCAGTACCTGGCCAACAGTATAATATCAAATACAGAGTCTCTGTGTATTATTTGGGGCTGGCGCGGCAGCAGGACAAGACCAGCTGCGGCAGGCGGAAAAAACGTACTCGTTACAGCCCATGCTGACTGCAAACTCACTATGTAGTTGAGAACACCTTTAACCTCCTGCATGCTAAAACTTCAGATGTGGGACCACCATGCCCAGCTTTAATTATGACATCTTTAAGTATCCAAAGTGGAAAATATGGTGTTCACCGAAACAAAATACCAGAAAAGAGGTTAATTCTCTCGGCTTCTGATGCATATTTGAGAAATTCCAGGTGAGGAATAAATGTGTGTCTGGAATATGAACTCCAGACTACACTCTGCTTTGTAAGGAAGACTAAAAATCAGACTCAGGGAAACAGATGCTATCCAGGACAAATACTTAGTATCTGTGATTTCTCGAAGTTTGCCACTGACCAGAATTAACACTTCCTTTGCCTTGTGAAGATTTAAAAGTCATGGTATGGGGGCTGGAGAGATGGCTCAGAGGTTAAGAGCACTGGCTGTTTCTACCAGAGGACCTGAGTTCAATTCCAAACAACCACATGGTGGCTCACAACCATCTATAATGAGATCTGGTGCCCTCTTCTGGTGTACAAGCATGCATACAGATAATTGTATACATCATAAATAAATAAAATCTTTAAAAAAAAAAAAAAGTCATGGTATGACCTAAGTGCCTGAACTAAGCAATCTGCTTACAGAAACCCCATCTTCAGATAAAGACAAATTAGCCAGCCATAGTGGCACATGCCTTTACATCCAGAGCAAGTTCCAGGCCAGCTAGGGCTACACAGTAAAAGTATGTCACACATACACATAAGCTAACACTTTACACAAAAGAATGTCTGATGGATAAAGACATATTAAATGGCCCGAGACCAAAATAAAAATTGAGTCCATTTTGTGATTATTTTGCCATACCATTTCTACAGAGGGACCATAACATTAGAACAGAAAACAATGTGGGCATGATGCTGTACATCTTTAATCCCATCGCTCGGAAGGCAGAGGCAGGTGGATCTCTGAGTTTGAGGTCAGCCTAGTTTACAAAGCGAGTTCTACGACAGCTAGGACTACACAGAGAAACCCTGTCTTAAAGAAAGAAAGGAAAGAGAAAGAATGAAAGGGAAGGAAGGAAGATAAATTAGACACCTCAAAATGGAGAACATTTTAACTGAAATTCAGGATATAGCTGATAGAGTTACTTGTCTGTCAGATGGAAGGCCCTGAGTTTAATTCCAAGCACTCACAAAAGAAAAACAGAAAAGTATGCAAAGCAAATATTTACCAGGGCAATTTTTAATTATCTGTATGTATGCATGCCTGCCTATTGGCAATCCCTGTGGGAGCAGGTGGTGCCCTCAGGGGCTCTCATTCCCTGGAGTTATAGTTTTGTTTGTTTTATACAGAGTCTTACTACGTAGCTTTGGTAGTTGACCTGTAGTTCACTATGTAGACCAATGCTGCAATTAAAGGACTGCTAGTATTTTATTGTGGGGGAAGAGCGGTGTTGCTGTTTTTCTGAGACAGGGTCTCTGAGTGCTGGGATTAAAGATATGTGCTCGACCAGCCAGCTTGTTTAAAGTCATGTGTCATTCACTCTCCAGATCCATGATCACTGTATATGGTATTTACCTGAGGCAAGGTCTCACCAGACCCTGGGATTGCAGGTTGGCACCACTGAGTGCTCAAAGGGGCAGAAAACTGAACTAGTAAAATAAAAATCTAATTGGACAATGGGTAATAATATACAGGAAATAACATGCATACTATATGCCAGTGAATATACAGGAAACCACATAACTGTGTATAATGTAACTGACTACAAATCTGTATGTTCTAGCTGGGTAGTGGTGAATGCCCTGAGCTCACTGCTATGGAGGCAGAGGTAAGCAGATCTCTATACATAAGACTATCCTGGGTTTGAGGCCAGCCTGGTCTACAGAATGAGTTCCAGGACAGCCTTCAAAGCCACAAAGAAACCTTGTCTCCAAGAAAACAAAACAAAACAAAAAGACTATTCTGGGACTGGAGAGCTGGGTTCTGGTTAAGAGCACTTTAGAGATTTCCAGAGGACCTGAGTTCAGCTCCCAGTACCCATGTAGGTATCTCATGCCACCTTTAACTCCAGCTCCAGGGACACCTGATACCTCTAGCTTCTACCAGAACTTGTACACACAAACACACTTAACAATAAGAATAAAACTTAAAAAAAAAAAAAAAAAAAGGTTGCTACAATACAACTAATTACAGCCCTATGTGTACATGCAAGCAGAATTTTTTGTTTGGTTGTTTTTTAGAGACAGGGTTTCTCTGTGTATAGTCCTGACTGTCCTGTATACCAGGCTGGACTTGAACTCACTGAGTTTTGCCTGTCTGCCCCCCTGAGTGCTGGGATTAAAAGCCATAAGCCACCAGCAGCAGCAAGCAAAAACCTTAAGAAATAAGTCTATTTACGTTTCTATTTGTTTTGGTTTGGTTTTCTTGAGATAGGGTTCTTCTGTGTAACCCTGATCATCCTGGAACTCACTCTGTAGACCAGGCTAGCCTTGAACTTGAAGATCCACCTGCCTCTGCCTCCGGAGTGTGTGTGCTACTATCCTTGGCATATATTTTTTAATGTTACTATTTTTCAAAAAAAAAAAAAATGTATGTTCTGGCCAGGCAATGATGACACATGGCTTTAATCCCAGACCTAGAGAAGCTAAAGATAAAGACCATTTCAAACTGAAAGCTAGCATGGACTACTGTCTCGAAAAGAAACCTAAAAACAGCAAGAAAACCTCTTTCAAAGTCAACCAGAACTCTACCTCTCCTGCTGGTACTCAGTCCTGCAGTAGGTGCACTTCACAACAGGGTGAGCAATCCGGCATTCCTGAAAAGAGAGGAGGCGATCATTTGAAAAGGCCCTGGGAGTGGAAACAGGCTTCGGCAGGAAGCAGCAGAGCTGGGGGCTAACTATTCCTAGCACAGCCACTACGCTTGAAGTGAGTCATGTAACTCCCTGAACCTTATTTTCCTCCTCTGTAATATCCTCATCACTTCCCTGCTGTTGGTGTGGAAATGGGAAACTGTATGAACTACTCATAGATTGAAAAGCAAATGTATGCATGAATAAAGCAGACTCCAGATTCCACGGCTGACTATCTGCCATTGTTGAATACCAAGGATGACTTGAAAATAAAGGCAACAGATTCAAGCCACTTTGTTTACAGAACTTCCTTTAAAAAAAAAAAAAAAAACAGCAGGTGGATCTCTGTGAGTTCCAGGCCAGCCTGGTATACAAAGTTCCAAGTCAGGCTCCAAAGCTACACAGAGAAACCCTGTCTCAAAAAACAAACAAATCAAAACCAAAAAAAAAATCATTCTTGGGCTGGGTTTAGGGGGCACACGACTTTCTGAAGAGACAATCGGATCTCTATGAGTTCCAGGACAGCCAGAGCTTCCCTGTCTCAAAAACAAACAAAAAGAAAATCTCAAATCTGTTTTTATATCAAAAGGGACACTGAAACACTCTCTCAGACTCAGTAAACATGAGTAGCTAAAGGAAAGAGGTAAAGATAAGAGCTTTTTTTTTCCTCGTGAGCTAGAAACATTCTGAAATATCTGAGAATTCATAAACAGTCATTTCATAGGAGTTTGGTGATTTAATTGCTGTTGCTCTATTCACCTGAACAAAGTGGGATGAAGAAACAAAACCGCTGGCATTTCAGGAGTTCAAAAATGGTTAGGGCAAGGCATAAGGCTACCAACAAGGTGCTAAAAAGTCATCTGATTTGTGCGTTCCAAGGCTACATTGAAAACTTTTTTCATTTTCCCTAATAAAGCCTTGCCACCTCCAACTTTTGAGATTGGCTGAAAAGTGCCCATGAAGTGTCCGAGTTCGAGACACTCCTCACAGGCTGCACCCAACTCCGGGATTCAATCTCAGGCGGGACAGGAGGGTCCCCGGGCCCTCATTCTGCACCCAGGGCGATCACAGCAAGAGGCGGTCCAATGAGATCCTGCCGGGGGAGCCAGTCGGGGACAAACAAGAGACTCGTCGTCCCCTCCCGCGACCTCACCGGGTCCGAGAAAACCCCGCCGTTGCTAAGCACCGGGAACGCCGGCTATCAGGGCCCGAACTCGGCCCCGGGCTCCCCCACGTGCCCCGCAGTCCCCGGCCTGCCCGGCGCCGTTTCTCGGCGAAGCGGACCGGCCACACCCTGCCCGAGGGGACCCCGGCGGGCGTCCTCGTAAGACCGAGAATTCCGAGCCGCGCCCGGAGCGTCCCCCGCTCCCGGCCGCCGCCCCAGCCCGCGCACCTTGCACAGCTGCTGCCCCTGAGACAGCGCCTCGAAGGGGAAGCGCTGGTGGCACTTGGTGCAGGCGTAGAGCGCCGCCATGTCCGGCCCGGGCCGTGCTCACCGCCGCCCCGCCCGCCGGCCCGCCGCTTTATCTGACAGTCTCAGGCACAACCTGGCGGCGGCGGCCGGCCGCGGGCTACGGAGGGCGGGCGAGCGGGCGGGCGAGGGCGGGCCGCCGGCGCGGGGGCGGGCTCTCCGGTGCTGAGCGGCCGTTCGCTGGTTCGCCTGGACGTCGATCAAACCGGAGGGGGCGGAACGTAAAGGTCCCAACGGCTCTGATTCGGTCTAGATTGGACTACGCCACTATGACGCTCGAGGCCGCGATTATGTAAAGCGCAGTCACGCGGGGGCGCCGCCTGAAGAGAGCGTCTTCCGACCGGGGATCGCGGAAGCTCTCTCGCTCCGCCCACTTTCCCGCCGTGTCCACGCCTTCGCCCCGCCTCTCCTGGGCCGCGGGCTCATAAATGCTTCTCGCGATACTCCGTGAAGTTGTGATGTTTTGGGTTGCCATGGAGCTTCCTGCTAGCCGGAAGAGGGCGGGATCGGGGTGACAGTGCTGCTACGTCGGATTCGAACTCCGAGGCGACCCTGAGTTTGAACCAGGTGGTCAGCCAAGAAGGAAACTCTATCCTCGGAGTCGGCGAGTCTGCTCAGCCCTCTAAGAGGGAAACAGGATATTAAGACGAGTGTCCTCTATAGGCTGGAGAGATGGCTCCAAGTGTCTTGTCTGCTACTGCTCTTACAGAGGAGTTTGATTCCCAGCACCCACATCTAGTGGCTCAAATGGTCTGTAACTCCAGCAGCAAGGGTTCCCGATGCCTCTGAACTCTGCAGGCATCTGCACTTGCGTGCATTTACAGATATTCACCACCAAATAAAATGTAATAGAAAAGAAAAGATTTTTAACCAATTAAACATGGCCTCCTTTCTCCCAGGGTTATGTATGTGCTTGCTCAGATGCCAGCCTTTGTGCTCCTGTTGCCTCTGATTCTAGCGCCAGATCTGTACTGTTTGGCCATTTTACAGTTCTCACCCTTTTCATCAGAATATACCTTTCATGGTATATTCTGTGTGAGCCCTGTCTACAAAGGAAGTTCCAGGACAGCCAGGGCTATTACACAGAGAAATCCTGTCTCAAAAAAAGCAAAACAATATCAAAAGATGACCTGTGATCCTCCTGCCTCTACCTTCCAAGTACCAAAACCACAGGCCTTAGTCATTATGCTCAGTTTATTTGGTGCCTGGGATCAAACCTAGGACTTCGTGTCTGTTAGATAAGCATTCCTCCACTGAGCTACATTCCCAGTCTTTGTTTTAATGTGTATGAGTGCTTTGCCTGCATATATGCATGCCTATAACACCATCTGTTTGACTGGCATGCCTATACACCTTATGATTGCCTGGTACCCTTGGGGACCAGAAGAGGATCTTGGCCCCCCTGAACTTACAGACAATTGTGAGCCACCATATTCATGCCATAACTCAATCCTGGATCCTTTATAAGGACAAGTGCTCTAAACTTCCCAGCCATCTCTCTAGCTCCTGAAAGATAGAGTTTTGAGGGAATTATCAATCTGCATGTGGAATTTAGTGTCCTGAGCCTGGATGTGACCTTGAAATCATGTAAGACCTTTGTGAGGCAAAAGAAAACAGAGATCCGGCTAGAGAGGAGACATCCATAGAGGAGCCATATGTAAGAAGATGCAGAAAGGAGATGGAGAGATGGCTCAGTGGTTAAGAGCACTGGCTGCTCTTCCAGAGGACATCAGTTCAATTCCCAGCACCCACATGGCAGCTCACAACTGCCTGTAACTCTAGTTCCAGAGCATCTGACACTTTCACACCAATATACACAAGATAAATTTTGAAATATAAAGATGCAGAAAGAGAGGGTGTTGCATTACAGAATCCAAGAGACATTGGATCCTGCCTCAGAACAACAAAACAAAAGTTAGATCTGAGTCCAGGAAAAGAGCAAGAGACACCAGTCAACCTTGTTAACAGCTACTTGATGGCTGAACCAGCCTTGCCTGTATTTGCTAAATGTCTAGGCTGAAAAACCTAGAGCTTATCTATCATGTTTTCCTTTGTGTCTTGTTTTGTCTTGAGGCTGGGACTCATTGGCTGGCCTGGAACTTGCTCTATAAACCAGGCTGGCCTCTAACACAGCCTGCCTCCTCCTTTTCCTGTATGGTGGGACTCGAGGCACGCACCATCATACCCAGCCTCTCTGTGACGTTAGCAGCAATGGCTGGCTGGGTGTACCTTGGAGGAAACTGAGAAAAAAAGTTCTTATGGGTTTTGTTCAGAGAGGCAAAATACAAGAATAAAGAAAGCAAATACCAAGCCAGATGTGGTGATTTCTGTTTTTTTTTTTTTTTTCAATTTATTTATTTTTATATGCATTGATGTTTCGCCATATGTGTCAGGTCCCCTGAAACTGGAGTTACAGACAGTTGTGAGCTGTCATGTGGGTGTGCTGGGACTTGAACTCAGGTCCTCTGGAAGAGCAACCAGTGATCTTAACCACTGAGCCATCTCTCCAGCCCTAAAAATGAAATTTCTTTTCTTTTTTGTTTTTTTCGAGACAGGGTTTCTCTGTGGCTTAGGGGACTATCCTGGAACTAGCTCTTGTAGATCAGGCTGGTCTTGAACTCACAGAAATCTGCCTGCCTCTGCCTCCTGAGTGCTGGGATTAAAGGTGTAAGCCACTACCTCCCAGCCATGATTCCTGTTCGTAATTCCAGTGCTCAGGAGGCTAAAGCAGGATCATGGTGAGTTTGGTGCCATGATGGGCTATTTATCAAGACCCTGTCCAAAAAAAAAAAAAAACAAAACAAGATACAGCTGGGTGGTGGTGGCATATGCCTTTAATGCTAGTACTTGGGAGGCAGAGGCAGGGAGATCTTTGTGATTTTGAGGTCTACAAAGCAAGTTCAAGGGCAGCCAGGACTACACAAAGAAACTGTCTCAAAAACAAAAACAAAACCAGATAAATAATATGGCTCCATTGACAGAGTGCCTGCCGAGCATGAAACCCTACATTTGATCCCCAGCACCTAATACACTGGGAGTCATCACAGTACTCTGGAAGTGGAGGCAGGAGGCAGAAGTTTAAAATCATCCTTGGGTGAGAGTTCAAAGAGCCTGATCTAGGCATCATATCTCTAAATAAATACCTATCCAGTGAAAGATCAATGAGTGAGTAACCTGTTTTGGGTCCAGGTGGAGCCATAGAAATGGCTCCACATCATCTTTAGAGAGTTCAAACCCTCTATTGCCCTTTCAAGGTCAAACCACAGGATCTTTGCCCCAAGAAGTAACTAATGGGTGTCTAACTTTAACAACAGGGCATTTGGCCTATGGCATGGCTATTATGTGTCTTGCCTTGAAGACAGGATACTTGGTTTGGGTGTGGTTTCTTGACGTTTGTATTGAGAAGGTAATCATGCTTGTTTGTTCTTTGTATCTTGGCAAGGAAGTCTCTTTGCCCCCCCCCACTTTTGATGGAGATGTATAAGGACTGTGTTTAATAATCTTGGGGCTTTCCCCAGTATTCACTGGAGATTTCCCTCCCAAGTCTATCCTATGTCTGTCTTTTCTTTTGTATCTATAATTTTTCTACCTGCCATTTCTTTTTCATTTATTTATTTTTATCTTATCTACATTGGTGTTTTGCCTGCAGGTATGTCTGTTTGAGAGGGTTGAACCCCCGGAACTCCATTTACAGACAGTTGCCAGCTGCCATGTGGTTGCTGGGAATTGAACCTGGGTCCTCTGGTAGAGCAGCCAATGCTCTTAACCACTGAGCCATCTCTCCAGTCCCTGTGTCTTAAAGTTAAATATGAAACAAACACCCTAGTGTGGTAGTGCATGCCCAGAACCCCACCTACCAGGAGTCAGAGACACTTGGATCCCTGTATATGTTGGAAGTCATCCTTGGCTACACAGCAAGTTCCTGGTGTCAAAATAGATGCTCCAACTATAGAGGGGATCAGCCACCCCTTATATCCTATCTGGCACCTTCCTTAAATGTGCTAAATTCAGAAACCCCTCTCTTCTAAAGTGTATGAAAGTACGGGATTCTTGGTGCTCTGTGGTTGCTTTTAGATCTCCTTCCCCCACTCCAGGTTCTCCAGCCCTGGATCCCAGACATTACTAAATAATATTTTGCCTGAACTCCATCGCAGTGCATCTCTCTACTGATCCTGAAAAAAAAAAAAAAAAAAAAAAATCTGAATTACTTTAAAGGCCCAAGCCACCCAGGACTACATTGCAAGTTCCAGGCCAGCCAGAACTGTAAACCCAGATGAGGAGGTGCCATGGTGTCCAGACAGACTTGGTCACCAATGCCTGTATTTCTCACAATCTACAAGATCACAATCTGTGGAAACCGAGGAATCTTACCGCCATGTTGGAGAAGCGCATCATCCAGGGTACCCTCAAGTGGCCACGAGAGAAGCAGTGGCTATACGAAGGCAACCAGCTCCTCAATGACAAACACTGGGTGAGCATGGCCTCAGTCAGACAGCCGGTATCTATGCTCTGGCCACAGCAAGCCTGGCCCTCCAGGAAAATGCCTTCAGGACTTCAGAGTCTGAACTCTTGCGCTCCTGGACAGAGTTTCCGTGAGACTGCTTAGTGAATGAACAAATGGCAGGAGTCTGAGCCCCTACACCTCAGGATGAAAGGAGAGAACCAACCCCTGCCCTGCACATGCTCTGTGGCACCCCTGCCCCCACCCCTGCCCTGCACCCATCTGGTCTTAAACATATGTTTAAAAAGTTTTGTTTTGGTGTCTGTCTGGTTGCTGCCTCTTTTTCGGCGTGGTCCCAGCCACTCCAGGCCATGTCCTCCCTGGAAGGGTGTTGCTCTGGCCCTGTCTCACCAGGCTGCCTGCTGTACTGTCCAACTGGGAACTTGGTCTAACTGCCTATCACGAGTACCTTGGGGATGGATGTGGGCCGCCCTGAGGGCCAGGCAATCCTCAGTCGCGGGGGGGGGGGGGGGGACGGGGGACGGGGGACGGGGGACGGGACGGGACGGGACGGGACGGGACCGGGGACGAGACCAGACCAGCCTGTCAGGCAAGGGACAAAAGAGACCATCCCTACAGAGTCAGACCCAGGTGACATCTGCCCTGCTCC